CATTTAAGGAAAGGCCTGCTGTGCCTATCTGCTCACAGTGAAGTCCTAATCAGGTGGGAAAGTTCTTCTCAAATGCACAGCATTAATCACGCTTCTCTTCCGGGCTATGGTCTTCAATGCGGGCTTTACATTAGAATCATCTGAAAAGCTTTTAAAAATTACTGATGCAATTAAATCAGAATCCCTGGGAAAGGGGCAGAAGTATTTTCTAAAAAGATCTCTAGATCATTCCAATATGCAACCAGATGAAGCATCACTGCTCTAGTGGGTACATTTCATTTGCCTTTACCATACTATGTTTTTAATTTTTGTTTATATTTCTATCCTTTTTTTTTAAGTTTATTTATTTATTTTGAGAGAGACAGACAGCCCAAGTGGGGGAGGGGCAGAGAGAGAGGGAGAGAAAGAGAATGCCAAGTAGGCTCTGCCAGTGCAGAGCCCAATGTGGGACTCAAACCCACTAGATCATGACCTGAGCTGAAACCAAGAGTTGGACGCTTAATTGACTGGGCCACCCAGGCGTCCCTATTTCTAGATCTTTTTTTTTTGGCTTAGAAGATCTTCAACTCAATATGTATTTTACTGAGTGCAAATTATATGTGGCATGACACACTATACTAGGTGCTGATGATACAAAGACAACTTTGTGTTCCTGTCCCAAGAACTTTGCTGCCTAGGTGAGAAAGATAACATACAAAATCAACAAAATTAAGTGAAATAGGTATTATAGTAACAGTCTGCATAAGGGATACAGGGACATAAAGAACTTATCTATTTTATCTGGGGGTGGGGGTAAATCAGAGAAAGTTTCAGACAGAAGGTGATTCTTTGAAGGAGGGACTTATTACTTTTGCATCTCTACCACCTAATGCCCCCAATAAAAACTTGTTGACAGTCACCCTTGGAATTGGTATATTTAGAGCTCCTTGACTTAATGGATTTTAGTTTTACTCCATTTCAGAAACCCACTCCCAAGGCTGCATATTAGATCATCTTAACACTGGACCTGCCCCACCTCTGAAACAATTAACTCCAACATTCAACTCTCTGAACACAGTCTTTAATCCTTCTACATCTTTCACAACAACTTTACTCCATCAGGACCTCCAGTCTCTAAATGTCTCCATTTTTATCTCAGTTCATCATTTTCCTTTGCTAAATTTTTCTATTGTATTATTCTAAAATTTGCTGTATTTTTCTTTTTTTGGTGTTTTGCTGTATCTTCATTTTTGTATTTATCACACAGCATTATAATTTATAGGAACATTTGTTTGTTTTCTCTGTTAGATCATAACTTTCCTTACAACAGTTATTGGGATTTTTTTTCTTGCATCCTTGCATCCTTAACACCCAGGACAGGGCCTGACTCCTAAGAAGTGTTCAGTAAATGTTTGGTGAAGAAATGGATGAAGTGTTCTGGTCATTTTCACCACTAAACTATAAGCTCTCCAAAGGCAGAGACTGTCTCATATGTATATTTCCTATAATTCCTACTGGAGTGCCTTCTACATAGCAGAGCCTCAGGGAGCATTTGTTCAATTGTAAAAGGGTGAAATGTATCAGAACCTGTGTAAGACATATAAAAATATGTCCCTTGCTCTTTTTGGGTATTATTATTTTAACAATCGTTTAAGATAACAAAATAGTTACAAGGCAAATGTAAATAATGTTCATCATGACAGAGACAAAATGATATAAGCACTGGATATAAGTCAGGAGGCCTGCACTTTTCAGTCTTGGCTTTCCCACTCTGATCTACAAATAACCATCTCTGTAAGCCTTAGTTTCCCCATTTTTATTTTAATGCTTATTTATTTTTGAGGGAGAGAGAAAGACAGATCATGAATGGGGAAGGGGCAGAAAGGAGGAGACACAGAATCCGAAGCAGGCTCCAGGCTCTGAGCTGTCACCAGAGTCTGATGCGGGGCTTGAACCCAAGAACCGTGAGATCATGACCTGAGCTGAAGTCTGATGCTTAACCGACTGAGCCACTCAGGTGCACTCCCTTCCCATTTTTTAAAATAGAGTTTGACCAGAATTCAATTCTTGTTCTTCTTCAGAATTCAGTTCTTGTTCTTCTTCAGAATTCAATTCTTGGTCATCTGAGGTTCCCTAACATGCTATGCCTCTTAAAATTTTTATTATTAAAGTGATGCATCCTCTGGGGCGCCTGGGTGGCGCAGTCGGTTAAGCGTCCGACTTCAGCCAGGTCACGATCTCGCGGTCTGTGAGTTCGAGCCCCGCGTCAGGCTCTGGGCTGATGGCTCAGAGCCTGGAGCCTGTTTCCGATTCTGTGTCTCCCTCTCTCTCTGCCCCTCCCCCGTTCATGCTCTGTCTCTCTCTGTCCCAAAAATAAATAAATGTTGAAAAAAAAAATTAAAAAATAAATAAATAAATAAAATGATGCATCCTCAATCTAAAAAATTGTACATGCCCTTCTGAATTGTTTAGGTAAAGGAAAGTTCCCATTTTCCACCCTATTTTCATAACCCACCAGAGGTATCCACTCTCAACAGTTCCTTCTGTATCTTTAAGGCATTCTTCATGTAAAAGCAAGTACAGTCTAATATTCTTGTTTTTATTTACCAACTGCACAATCCTATAAACTCTAATGGAACCTTAACAAAATGAAAGGAAAATTATAAATACTTTGATAGCAGAAAGAATTACCTACTCAAAAGGCCGACAGGAGAAAAACTTAAAACACAGACAGAAATATAAAACTTCCTGTTTCACCCCCGCCCCCCTTGGTTGTACAATGTAATGTGAATAAAAAGTGTATGATGAGAAAAGAAATTTAAGGTGGGAAGCTAATATATGGAAGAAATGTGAGAGGCATGGGAATTGTGGAGAAAAGAGAGATAATCATACCAATGTCACAACCACAGAAGGATGTATATATAAAAGGCCAAAAAAAAAAATCACAGAATTCTAAATATTAAAATAGCAAACACAATTCTGAAGTATAGTATGAGCTTAAGGACAGAATCACTTGCGGAAAATGCAGCGTTGTTTTCCAATACTGATTCCAGCCCAGAGACAAATGTAGATTAGTATGTCCTTGATTTTCTTGACAACAGGATCCTGTGAAGATCTATATCTAAGTCTAACAAGGGCATCCGCGTATTAAGAAGCCAAAGATGAAATAATTGTATTTTTGATCAGTCCCTCTAATAGTGGGGAAAATATAGGATTCTGGTTGTCATAATTTTTTAGAAGACAGAGAAAAAAATAGGTCATTAGTAAAATACAGAACTAGTTTCCTGAGAATATAGTGGAAATTGCAATCTAATGGCTGGACTGTTAATTTCTTTCATTTGGTATCATAATATTTACACATTAAGGAGTATGTTAGATAAAGAGCCAAGCTTTAACTTCTATACCCATCTAAACAACATAGATTTCACCTAGATAGGTCCCCAGTTTTACCTCTGTAGTGTAAAACGATACCATTCCATACTGTAAATAATGCTTGTAAATAAGGGAAGAACAGCCTGGATAAGGATCCTGTTCCACAAGGCTAGCACATTACAGAAATAAGTTCACTTTTTAAACAGAATAAAAATACAATTCCAAAATATGTAAGTACAAGACTAATAGCAGTTAGCTGTAAACTGCCTAACAACAATTACAGCATTAAAAAAATTAACACTGTTATAGTCTTTATCTGGTATTTTTACAACCTAAATATAGTATGATGGATACAGACTAAAACTACAATTTAGAACTAATTTGGAGGAAGAGAAAATGATAAATTATTTTTTATTCCATTCCATGGTATAAAGTGTGTCAAGAAATTGAAAATAGTTAAGTCCATATCTCCATAAAATAGTCAAGGATAAGTGAATTCTAAGACTACAAACTTTACCACATCTACCTTGTTTCCAGACATTCAGAAACACAAACACAAATAAGGAACTAAAATCATTCTGGTTTCCTGCACCCTTTCGGTTAAGAGGAACAATACTTCCTGACACCGGAAAATGTCAAGTCAGTAGCTGAAGCTATGGTTTTCAAATTTGGGTAGAATACCATTTTAAGAATCTTTAAGAGTTTTAAGAGAAATTTTCATTACTAGACATACCTACGTTATAATTTAGCACAAAACTAAACATATAAAGCAGTACAGCAATTCTCAAACTTTTGTACTTCAGAGTCTGAAAAATGTTATGACCTCTCATCTCCTTTCTCTCTTTACATCACCTCTTCCCACTAAATCCTGTAAAAATTTACAAACCAGCTAACACAAATTAGTGTAGGCAGCTTAAGGTCTGTAGTGGTCAAGGTAAGTCAGAAAGTGGCTTGTGTACTACTATTTCCTGACTACAAAGACTGAACACATTCCATCTAATGTTCAAAGTGAATAAATTATGTAGAAATCAGACCCTAAAAGCCTCTCTACAAAATTATATGGGAATTAGGCCCTAAAAGCCTCTTTACAATTTCTCCATTCGATAGCAAGGACAATAGATCCACCAGCCTCATCCTGAGTAAGCTAAGCTTCTTGAACTGCTGTCTCTGTAAGATATAATTTTTTACAAAGAATTCGGTGACATAATATCTGAAATCTTTGTGCGAAAACGGTAACTAAGATATGATCAATAACTACTCCTGGTAACTAGCCTTAAAAGCCAACTGTAATATTCTGACCCCAAAGCTCTCCACTGAATTTCACCATTTAGGATTCTCTGTGCTGAAAAACTATTAAATTCTTTGATATTTGCCCTAAACCAAAACACTCATTTCAATTCTAAGGAGGCAAAATGAAGAAGTCGAAATATAAATTTGCTTTCCTTCTTTCCATATACCTTCCCACATGCCAAATTATTGCTGCCGAGAGTCACTGTGCTGACCATTATTCCAAAGGGTTCCTTAGGCATCTCAAAAAGAGGTACCTTGGTTCCTGGTGATTACTGTATAATGGAAAAGTGATTTTCCAGTAGACAACCAGATAAATAAGCCGGTAATGAAAGTATCCTGTCATCTGTGTTTCTACTTACCCTCCGTGACATCCTGGGGGTTAGAAGTCCGGTCACTAGCCGGATCCAGTGCAACAGTTGCCAGTGAAGTGGTGGCTCCGGACATCTCACTCATGGGCTCACTCCGGCTTGTTTCCGGCACACTTTCCCGTGAGCTAAATCTTACTCGGGAACTGGACCGGGAGCTGAGGTCCGGGCTGGTATCTGACAAACCAGGAATGTCATCGATCTTTGTTGGTGTCACCATGAACCGAACTGAAGCCATCTTGGTGGTGGTTTCTGGAGGATGCATTATTCTTTCTCTTTTCCTTTATAAGAACAAAGAAAAAAGGAAACCCCCGCAAAATCCTTCCTCCTACGCTAGCTACTTTTGATTGTAAAATAGAAAAGATAACTTAAAAAAACCTTCAATAACCTTGATTTACACCACAAAAAGTTCCTTCTCAGAATTCAAACAGACTATCCCAGAAAGTGCACTACCATTAAATATTTAAGGAGGAAAAAAGACAAAACGATGCCAAACTCGTGTAACTTCCTTTCTTCAGGGGGAAAAAAAAAAGTTATCTAGCTATCTCCCCTGGTCCAGCACTGCGACCCCAGCGCCATGGTCTCAAGAGAAGCTGGTGAAGCGTTTCTCCCCTCGACCCCCAGGTTTCCGCCGAGGTAGTTAAGTCTTTTTTATCTGGTAAATGTCCCACGGTTCTAGTTGAGCAAAGTGCGCGCAGGCCCACCCTTATCAGGCGAATACAGCACAGATCAGATTGCGAAATGGTGTACACCCGGCCACCTGTTGTGTATCAGGTGAATACCCCACAGGTTTGGCTGGGAGGTGTGTGGAGAGTCACCCGATGTTTTTGAGGCCAATAATCCACTTGGGTCTGGTGGGAGAGATGAGCATGCATAACGAGAAAAATACCCCACACTACTGGATACAGGAGAATGAGGAGAAAAGGGTGAGCAGAGGATGCAGGGGCAGAGCGGATTCTCGTCTCCAAGAGGTCTGCGGGGGTGGCCCGCCCGCTCTTCGGGCAGAACGGTCCCTCGGATCTGGGAGGGGGCGGCTAGCGAGCGGATCGAGACCCCTCGGACTGCAGCTCAGGGTCGTGGCAGGTCGTTGCTAGTCCATCGAGCCCACGGTCTGCTCGCTGGGTTTCTCCTGCGTGTGACAGGACGGGCCACCCCTTTGCCGGAGGACGCCTTCTCCCCGACCAGGGCCGCGGCGGTCAGGCCCTCGCCGTTCTTCCTTCGGGTCCTAGCAAGAGAGGAGACGGCCCCGTAGTCTGGCCCGGGCTGAACAGGAGGGGGCAGCGGGGATGAGGGGTAGAGGAGGTCGCAGGTGCTGAATCCCGGCGCCAGCTGATGCGGGTGCGCGCGCAGCTGTTGTTTACGAGCCGGTAACTGTTTCGGAGCAGCGCGCAGGAGGGCTCCGGCTGCCGGGGAGGGCACCCCCTCCCCGGGCAGACGCCAGAGCAGCCGTTACGTGACCTCGCCGCCCCCGGCCCCGGGCCCGGCGGGCTGTGCCAGCGCCGCCGCAGCCCCTCCCTTCCCTCTCCGCTCGTTCCTCATTCGAGGTTAACGGTCCGAAGAGAAGCCTGGGGGAGCGGTCGGAGGGCGGTACCGTCCCGCGAGTGCCGAGGAGCCCCGCCCAGCCTCTGCAGTCTGCGAGGCGACGTTAAGGGCTGCGCGCATGCGCTGCTGAAGTCGCAGCGGGACTGAAGGGCCACACTTGGGAGGCCCGGAGGACGATGGGAATTGTAGTTGCGTGTTGGGGCCTGAGCAACGAGCACGGGAGAAAACAAATCCTTTTCCTTCTCAGTCTTGCTGTGTTGCACAAACTCAGGTCTGGAGGCGTTCGGGGGAGCAGACAATGCCGTTTGCCCTCAGAACCTGAAAACCCATCTCTTTTTAATAAAAGCGTCTCTGAAAATACCGTTCATAATTTCTTTAAAAAAAATCACAAACCTCCCATACCATACACCTACGTATGACCCTTACTCAAATTTTTGAGATGTGTATCCTCACATCTTTTTACAGCACTGTATCCTCACATCTATATATATTTTGTGCTACATTTTCCCCCCATCCTTAAAATGTCTTTTACCACATGCATAGTTCATGCCATCGTGTACACAATGTATACAATTTGGTCAATTATACCTCAATAAAAGTGAGCGGAAATGCTATTTTTCGCTTTCTAGTTAGACGGAAAGCTCCATTAAATAAAATGTCTTCATAATTTTTTTTTTTTAATGTATTTGAGAGAGAGCACGAGCGAGCAAGACAGTGAGAGAGAGAATCCCAAGCAGGCCCTATACTTAGCGCAGAGCGCAACACGGTTCTCCATCCCACAGACCTGGTATCATCTCCTGAGCAGAAATCAAGAGTCAGATGCTTAACCAACTGAGCCACCCAGGCACCCCTATATAAAATGTCTTTAATTTTAAACCTGGGGAAAACAAGAGATACTTTTTTGTTCCAATCCCAGTGTTTTCCCTACTACTGCCACCAGAATATTTTTCTTAGCCTGTTTAATACCTGAATAGAGTGTTCAATAAGTTTTGACTTACCAATGCTTTTGTTTTAAAGTTACTTCCTATAGCTTTAACAAGACATTTAAATTTAACAATCTGTGCCCTGGCTTTGCCTGGGTCCTTATACCTCCCAGGGTAAATGTTTAAGCATCATTCTTAGCACTAGGTCAGAACTATACTGAAAACCTGAGCCAGGAAATCCCTTTTTAGCAAATGACACACAAAGTCCAAAGTCTGGTTAAAATGAACCAGGTTATAAAAAAATAAAACAAAACCACAAAGTAAAAAATATCCAGGTAACAAAATGAGAATTCCCATTTAAAATGTAAACCTCCTTAAAGCTTGATTCTTTAAAGCTTGATTCTTGCTCTTCAAAGCCTGTGATTATTAACTCAGGTTCACAGCTTTCCTGAGGAAGAAATTCACTTCCTGAGGGATGTCTTTCTCAGGCAGGCCTGCTAAGTTATTCAAATCTCAATAGACTTTCTCTTTATAAAGAAATGGTGGATTTCTGCAACATCCAATTTTGTTTCATACCACACTGTATTTTCATTCACTTATATATACTACCTAATACCAATAGACTATAACTTTTAAAATTCTCCAGTTTTTGAGCACCTCTCAGAAGATATTAATATCTAGAGAATCTCTTAAGGAAAAAGCCCTGGGTATTCAAACCAGTCTGCCTTTTCTCCTCTGCTTCAATTAGGAATATTTCCAGGTCAAAGTCTTTTCATTTCAGTTTACAGAGCAGGTAGCATGGAACAATGGTAATCCTTTTGGGGGGCGGGGGTGGGTAGTGGGTTACTTATAAAAACAAAATTACAGTCAGTATTATAAAACATTGGTAGAATTCATTTACCGACTTTGGTGCTTAAGAAGGTTCCATAGCAGATCGTTTTTCTAGTTATTTGCAGAATTAACTTTCTTCCATCATTATCCTCTTAACAGGATGTTAAAATTTCAAATGTTTTTATTTATTTTGAGAGAGGAGAGAGAGCGCACATGCAATTGGGCAGAGAGAGAGAGAAAATTCCAAGCAGGCTCTGAGCTATCAGCGCAGAGCCCCATGAGGGGCTCCACGATCATCACAATCAGATCATGACCTGACACCCAGAAACCCCAGGATAGGGTAACACTTTAAAGTCCCTTAGATCCAATGCTAAGACCCCGGAAGTGAACAGGCTAAGAAATTAAAAATTGCTTGACAGGAAACGAATATCTCATTTTACCATTCCTATAAGTAAGTAATTGATTCAACAATCATCTGTCTTCTATTAACTATGACCCAAGTAGAAAGATTTTCTTTTTCTCGGCAGTCAATAATTATCCCTAACTTTTTAACTGAGATCGTCAGACATCACAGTCCAAGAGAAACATAATTATTCCTTTCCAGGACCAGTGATGATAAATCAAATTTATGCTGATTTAAGTTACATCTGCTTCTAGAGTCTAGAATCTTGATGCAGTAGAAAACGATTGTATAATTAGAACACAATCTCCATAAAGCAGTTTTAAAATCAGGGGCACTAAGTATTCAAATCCAATGTCAAAAGCCACAAATGGGAAAATTGGGAAATAATGAGTTGATTAATGACTTGACAAAGACAAGAAGAAGCAAGCTAGCATTTCTTGAAAGCTTAAATACAGCATTTTCCCTCATCATCCCTTTACTATGAATTGGCTGAAAAATTTATGGTTGCCCCATAAGAGCAGCTTAAGTCCTAAGAAATCTTGCATTTTTTTTTAATTAACCCCAAAAGTAGCTTAAAAAACCAGCAAAACCCTGCTTGAATCTCTCATACCCGATTTTCTAAATTAAGATCCATGTAGAATTCCACAAAGTAGCTGCCTGCCAAGGAGAAAATAAAGTTAGGGGTATGTGAGAAGGCAACTCCTTGATGGAGAAAACGAAAAACCTGGGAATATTTTCAGAGGGCCAGTAAATATGCATTCATTGATGCATATTATTCATTTAATGAACAAAGGCATTCATACTCACAACGGTTCTATTTATAACACACTGTCGCTATATTAAGATCCACCACTGAACTCCATCAAATTTAGAGTTGGAAGAGAATTTAGAAATGAGAAAAGTGAGACTAAACAAGTGACTTTCTCAAAGGCACGCAGAGGGGAAAATCCTGGTCTCCCGACTTCCAATTCACAGCATCCCCTCTACAGTATAGTTGCTGTTATTTTTCAAGCAACTCCTCTGAGTCAAAACGTCATTTCAAGGGGCAAGGAATGACTTAAGTGACAGGAGGGGTACTTTTGAGTGAATGCTGACGGTTGTGGAAGAGTCTCAACCATTCTTCCCGTTCCCCGACACCCCATCGCGCGCACTACCGCTCCTGCAGTGACTGAAGTTTTTCTTCCAAGTACCACTTGTTGTACCCCTCAGGTGCTCTTCCCTCTCATCTCCCTCCTTTCTTCCCACAACGTACAAAACGAGAGCTCTTTCAAATCAATTTAATAACCTGGCAGCGATTCAAAATATGGAAAGATTCAAACTTGTTCCCTTAAGAGGTATGCTACCATGACTGTTTCACACAAGCATGAACAATGGTAACGATGAAACCGATTCCAAAGAGCAAGGATGATAAGAAGGCTTCTAGGCTCACACACTGAAGAGCTTGGTTTCAGAAAGTCTCTTGAGGGGGAACAGAGGAGACATGAAATTTAAGGGGCCCTCAGAGGACAGGGCGCGGTTGCTGGGTCATGAGCACCTTGAAGCGTTTCTTGATGGTGATTCGGTGTCGAGAGTATTTGTCATCTGGGGAGAACCGAGCAGGATGAGCCGAGCAGGTCTGTTGTCCCATAGGGTCAAGCTTCTGCTCGAGGAAGAAACAGAACATAAGCTCAGTACAGGAGTGGTGGGAAAACTCAATCCCTGGAATCATAAGGGAGACAGAGGCTGGGATGGGGAGGAGGCTGCGCGAAAAAAAAAAAAAAAGATTAACAGGAAGACAGGAGACGCAACAGTTAGATCAACAAGTCATACACTCCTGCCTCCATGACTCCTGGTTTCTGGGCTTTCTACTTCCCCTCACCATTCTAGACAATTCGGTGGCTGGTCTCAACCGCTCCCCCACCCATGTTTCTCGCCATAACCGTTTCCAACCTGTTTTCTTTTCTCACCTTCAGCGTATAGACCCGGTCTCCCTGATCGTTGAGGTAATACTGGAGAAACATGACCACACCGAAGCCAGAAGTTCCAATTCCGTCTGCACCTCTTCCTAACCGCCGCCAGTCTCACGTGTTTGTCAATTTCCTTCCCCTGGAGCCGGAAGAGTCTCTCTCTTTCTCTTTCTCTCTCAAGGCATGCCGGGAAATGTAGTCCATTTAGGTCTTTCTCCAGCTGGCCAGAAGGGGGCGAACTATTGCAGGATCTGGCCCAGTTGCAACCCAGTTGCAACCTTGCAGGAGTTGGCTTCCAGTTGCAACTTTGCAGGAGTTCTGAGATAGGTGGAATGTGCCCACTGTGTGCACACTGCTAGGAATTAGAGGGGGGTAGGAATGGTTATGGCTTGAACGCTGATTAATAGAATCCTGTCTTTATATCGAGATGTACACCCATTTCACAGGCAGTGGGTTTCTAGTGCCTGGAGAAACAAAGGCTCCAGGATTCAGAGCCCCTTTACCTTATGGTAGAAGAAGAAAGTTTTCTTCTCTCCCCTCTTTTACATCCGGTTCCTCCGCCCTATTTCAAAGTATTGGCGGTAAAGAGTGCATGATGGGTATTCGATATTATGTACAGCGAAGAGAGCGTGAAGTTATTTTATGAAACTGGTGAAGTAGATTTTAGTGGTCAAACCAAGATTTAAACTCAGGTCTCTACCACAAATTCAACGCTCTTTCTAATAGTGGTGAGTAGCTAATAATAGCATAATAAGATGCACCTCATAGGGTTATTTCGAATTTTTAAAAGAACATAGAAATTGTCTTCATAGGAACCTGGTTTTTAAAAAATGATAGTGGAACCCAGATATCATTACAAAGATGATCATTGCAGTATTATTTATAATGGCAAAGACATTGGAACATAGGTTAATTTTATAATCGAGAAAAACCTGAAGGCTTTCTTCTTTTTTTTAAGAATACAGTTTGTATTTAATTGTAGTTGCATAAAATGCAAAATTTCACAAGAAGCATACTATTGGTTTCCTCTGAGATAAAGAACTTGCTTCTAAAAACAAAAGAAAGAAAGAAAGAAAGAAAGAAAGAAAGAAAGAAAGAAAGAGAAGAAACAGAGAAAGAGAGAGAAAGAACTCAGTTCCAGAGGAAAGGGGAGAGAAGGAGACTTGCTGTATATTACATTTGGCATAATTTGACTTTTGAAACATGCGGATGTATTACCCATTTCAAAAATTAAAATTATTTAACAAAAATTTAAACAAAATAACAAAAAGAAGGACTTTTTGCTTTTGGAATTTTAGGCTGAATGGCAGTTTCTGATAGGGGGGTGCTTTTCAGCCAAGGGTAAGGCTGAACCTTCTGTGGACTGCAGACCTGATGGTACTGGACTGTTTGGGAACTGCAGGACAGCTTTTTAAGGAAATGATATGCATATAGCCCATCAAACCCAGATTTTCTGAGGCACCCTGATTTCAAACATTCTGTTTCTTTGATCCTTAAGTACACAGACTATATTGC